CCCCCCCCCCCCCCAGAGCCGTACCTTCGCTCGGGGGGCATTGCCCGCCCCGTCCCACCACTGTGGGGCTGCAGAAGGCCCCGCCACGGCCCCATCTTCCACCTCCGTGGGCATCGTCTTCTTCACCTTTCGGACACAGGCGTAATCGGCCGCCCCGTGCCCGGCCCGTGGAGGGGACACCTGGGTGCTGGTGGGTGCGGGGGGCACCGGGGCATCCTCCCCCCCCACCGCCAGGCACTCGTAGACGGTGTCCGGCACCGGCTTCCGCAGAGGGTTGAAGAGCAGGTTGGAGTAGGTCTGGTCGGGGGCCGAGGAGGCGGCCGGGGGCTCGGGGACAGGGATTTGGGGGAGCTGGCGGTGCAGGAGGACGCTGATGCCAGAGCTGTGCAGGGAGTCGGCAGTGGCGATGGGGGGGGACGCGGCGCGGGGGAAATCCAGGCTGGCTGGTCGCTGGGCTGTGGGGAGAGGACATGATGGGGGACATCAGGGATGCAGCAAACACCAACCCCTCTGCTGGCACCGCCCCGGCACCATGACACACGTCTGTGCGCCATGATGTGCTCGCCAGGAGGTAAAAGGACTGTGGGCACCCCCCAAGGGGCACTAGCCCCCATCAGCTCCCCCCAACTCCATGGCCACTCACTGTCATCCCTGGCCTTCACCCGGTACAGCTCGTGCAGCTTCGTGTCGGACTTGCTGAGCGACCGCAGCTGCGTCTGTCTGAGCAGGGACTGCAACGGGGGGTGGGGGGGGAACACACGTCAGGCTGGTGGCCAGGAGCTGGGGTGGCCAGAGCTCCTCTGGGGCTGATCCTGCCCCCCCCAGCCTGCACTTACCTCGTCCACCAGCTTCACCCCATCTGGAGGGACCTTCTTCTTCCTGCCCTTGCTGCGGGGGGAAGAGGGATGAGCCCAAGGTGGGTGGCCAAGCCGGGGGTGAGGAGCATGTGCCCCAGGACCCCGACCTGGCCAGGATGGGCAATGCCACGTTCCCCTTGCTGGAGCAGCAGCACCCCCAAACCCACAACCCTCTTCCTTCACCAGCCCTGCAGCAGGGTCTGTGCTGGCTGGGAGTTCAGCTGCATGCTGCATCCTGCACCCAGCTCAGCCGTGTCGGGCACCCCCAGCATCATCACCCCCAGCACCATCACCCCCAGCATCATCACCCCCAGCATCACCCTCCATCCTGCCCACCCTGCAGGACTCCTCCTGCTATGCCACATTCCCCACCCCAAGCTGGGGACCCGCTCCTTAGGGTGCAGGGGGTGTGACAGGGGGGCACAGGGGTGCAGGATCAGGCCAGGCAGAGCTGTACTGGGGCTGGTCGGGGGTCCCGGGCGAGCAGAGCAGCAGATCCCAGAGATCCCAGCTCAAGACAGGCACACGTGGGGTCTCCACGTACAGCCACCAAATGCCACCGAGGGGTTCCCGGGGCCAGGAGGGAAAGCAGAGGGGCTGTGGGCAGCACCTACCGTCTGCAGGCAGCACACAGGGCACCCAGGTAGACCAGGACACCCAGCAGGGCCAGGGCAGCGCCGGCCGGCAGGAGGGGGGTCCGGGCCAGCCCCTCGCCGCTGGCTGCAGCCATGGGGGAGCTGCAGGGCTGAGCTCTGGGGAGAGAAAACAGGAGTTGGGGTGCAGCCGGGCGCTGCTGGGCTCATCACGGCACGAGATGGTGCTCCCCAGCCCCCAGGACTCATTGAGGTCCCCACAGTGCAGCCCCCCCAGGCAGGGGGTCTCTCCGGATGCTCTGGAGGGGGACATGCACCGAGGGTCCCATTTTCTGGCCAGCGGCTGCCCTCCCCGGGGTCACTGGGATGTGTCCATTGCTCTGCCCAGTGCAGACACCCTGAAGCGGGTGCTCTGCCACCACCTGGAAAAACTTCAGATTTTGGTTCCTTTTAAAAAAAACACCCCCACCAACAAACCCAACGGGATTCAAGCTCCCAAGCTGCCGCCAAAATGTTGGAAAAGATGCTCTAGGGCCCTAAAATCCCTCTGGAGACATCCCAAAAGTGCCGGTGTGCTTTCTGGGGACACCAGGACACCATGCTGGGCTGTGGAATGGGGGTGGCACCGCTCCCCAGCACAGGTCTTGGGGTGACCCAGACGGGATGGGCAAACAGTTGACTCAGCTTCCCGGAAACGGGGCGAGCTTCAGTCTCGCAGCCACCTCTCCCTCCTTGCACCCTGGGCTTGGTGGCATGCACCCGGACACCCTCCTTCCACAGCGGGTCTCACCCTCTTCCTCTCCAAGCCCCGTGGGGTTCGGCCCCATCCACCTGCGGAGTCATTGGATGGAAAATCCTGGGTGGGAGTGATGGTGCTGCTGGTGTCACTGGTGTCCCCCACCATTTGCAGCACCGTGCACGGGGGAGTGAGCTCAGCCCAGCCCTACAAGCCCCACCATGATGTTTCTGCTCTCAGAGGAACCCCAGTGGCTCCCTGCACCATCCCAGTACCATCCCAGCTTGGGCCAGGAGCTGCAGGATCCCAACCAAGCCCCAGCCCAGCCGGGACGGCTCTTTGGCACCGGCAGCAGCGGCACAAGAGCAGAAAATACCCAACTTTCCGACCACTTTCCTCTGCCTAAAGGGAAAGCCATGCCTTGGCTGAACCCAGCCCTCTTCCCTGTGCCTTATCCAAGGAAAAAGGTCCTCTCTTGCAGATCGTGGCAGCGTCGAGGCCAGAGCAAGCAGCGCAGAGGCGTGAAGGTGATGGGGAGTCTGACACAAATGCTCCCCAGCCCCTCAGGATCCCACACCTTCCCCAGAGTGGCTCCTGGTTACATCCCGTCCCACTGTCCCTGTCCCTGCTGCAAAGCCCAAAGCAAGAGCTGACACCCTTTCACCCACGCCGACGTCGAGATGATGGCTGTTGCCCCCAGCTCAGCACAAGCCCAGCTCCCTGCACGCCCCTGCTCCCCAAAAAACCTTCCCTGCTACAAGAGATGTGTGTGCCAGCACCTGGGAACGCCTGGTCCGAAGGGAGACCGAGGGATTTTCCCAGCCTTGGAGTAAAGTGTGGCTGGAAGAAGCCACAGCAACTGGTCCAGACAGTGATGGAGTCCCCAGGTGGGACAGGCCGAGCAGGACAGCTTCCACCAGCCCAGCTGGGGACGCAGAGCCCGTGGGGCACGGCGTGGGCCTCTCACTCACCCTCTTACAGATCTTAATCCAGACGAGGAAGATCAGACGAGCTCCGGCGAGAAGCCACCCCAGCGATCTGACTCCCCTCTCTGCTTCACCCCGTGTCACACAGCAGCAGCTCGGGCGCATCTTCACCCCGGTATCAGCAAGTCCCTGCCCACTCCCAGCACCCTTTTATCTGAGAACTTCCCACGCCTTTGGAAACTTCCCTGACTGAAGCCTGAACCCCTGGAGAGCAATTATGTACACGCGGAAATCGAGACAGAGAGGTATTAGGGACTAACCCGGCTGGACAGACTGGCTTAGATCAGAGCTGGGAAGGGAAGGCTGTTCCTTCTCCAGCCATGTTTTAATTAGACAACACTGCTTTTCTGTCTGAGCATATATTAATTACACGGATTACCTGCAATGCAGGCAGTGGCTTTAAGACGGTCCTCGCTGAACGAGTTTTAGCTCATTAGAGCGACAGGACGGCAGGCTGCAGAAGAGACTCCGTGCAGGGGCAGAACCCAGCAGGTTTGGAGCTTTAGCAGAGAAAATCCCAACGAGGGGCGAGGGCTGGGAGCTGCCCTTAGGTCAGAATCCCTGTTTTAGCAGGCTGAGGAGGCACACACGCGGGGCAGCTTATCCCACAGCGGGTGGATTTTTCCATCCTGGAATTTTTAAGCTTGAAGAATGAAGGGAGAGGCGTCCTAAGTCGAAATTAATATCGAGAAACTCTTCTGACCTACTTACTCTTGCACAGGGAGGGGGGTGTCGGGGGTTGTTCCTGGATTTCTGACCTATGGAAATGTCCAACGCTCGCTCTTTTAGGCTTAGAAGTCACTGGGAGAAGCCAATTCTGGGCTGGGACATTGGTTCTCCCAGAATTACCCATTTGAGAGGAAAACCCAGCGCCTGGCTGAAGTGGCTGAGGTAGGACTGAGCAGGTTTGCAAGGCAAAGCCTCAAACAGAGCTGCTGAAGAGCACACCTGGATTTCCTGCCGATAAAGTCATCGATCTCCCAGTCTCCCCGGGGCTGTTCTCCGGGGCAGGAGACTCAGCAGCCAGCACGTTGTCACAGGCTGGCTCTGCAAGCCAAGATGGCTTTGAAGATGAGCACAGTCACAGCCACTGCCTGCGTGAGACTCACACCCACAGCCCAGCCAGGGGGGGAATAACTCCCTTCCCTGCTCCCCCAGCACAGGCACGGATAAACGCCGTCAGTTTGTTACTCCAGGACGTGAGAGGTTTTTTTGTGACCCCTACAAAAGGCACGAGTTTTTCAGCTGGGCTTCAGGAAAACAAGATGAAATTTACTGTGAGATTAAGCGCTGCCGCTGCTGATTTTGCCTGGCCTCTGATTCATCTACCCAGATAAAACCGCACGCAGCGCTCGGCGCCGGGTGACGAGAAGAAAAGTCTACGAAACCACTCAAAGCGTCGTCTTGCAAGAAACCGGGACAAACATCGCGAGCTGATTTCCATCAGCAGCAAACACAGCTCAGAGACCCTGGGGACTCGTGCCGAAAAAGAAAAAAAAAAAAAAAAGTCCCAAGAAGCAGAAGTAGATCTTCTTTTTTTGTTGTTCAATTATGAAAAGTGAAAGCCCCGTAGCAGTTAATCACCAGCACTGAATCTGCCCGAGACAAGATGCAATTAGTAAATCTTAAGACCGTTTCAAAGATGGGGAGCAGGGAGGAGATCCCACCCACTTCCCTCGCTTTTCTGCAGCAGGAGGGCAAGATTTCGTGGTCAAACTCCTCTGGGGGTGTTGCATTTAGAGAAGGCCAAGGATATTACTAAACGTCAGACCCAAATGTCACAAAATTTGGATGCACTCTTGTTGTTACACTCCTGATCCCCACTCGTAGGCTGGAGTGGCCTTGGTGAAGATAAGAGTATTAAAACCCTAAGGTAAGGGACCTGCCTGCTCACAGCCTGTGGCTTTGGTCGGGGCTGACATCGTTTCAGCATTTTTCTTCCCTCCTGCCCTTCCGCGATTGCTGGAAACGCTCTTACTTGGGCAGAGAAACGTGTTTCTGAGCAGAGGGTGAGAACCTGCCCCAGAGATTTTCTGTGGAGCTGAGAGGCAGCTGGACACTGGCGAAACCCTGGTGCCGCAGTTATGGGGAGCCAGATTCCAAAATACAGCATGTATTAAGGAGATGCCCGTTTTCTCCACAGTCACCTGCCTCTCGCAGTGGTTTTCTTGCCACAAATTCAGGAGTTTTACATAATTTCAGGTTTACAGAAGACAGACACACTCTCTCAAGCCTCCTCCCCTGCAGTTGGGAGCCCAGCAGCTTCCCAAGAGCAGTTCCACACTCAAGCAAAAAGTCTAGTCCCCTCCCCAAAAGACAACTGGAAATTTTTCTGTTGAAAAAACCAATGTCTCACACCTCTGAACTCAACAATTCCTTCACCACGAAAGCAATCGGTTCCTGCTCAACCTCTAGACTCGAGCCCTGGCACCCCCACAGCCTGGTCGAGCTCAAGCACCTTTTTCTTCCCTTTTAAGCCCAGGTGCCGCCAGAGCGACAAAGCACAAAGCGGCACCAAATTTGCAGTTGACTCAAAGTTTAACCCAGCCAATGCTTCCCCTCCACAGCCTTACGAGCAGGAATCCCACCTGTCCAGCCTGGCTGGCTGCTCCATCATCCCCAACGCTGCCATTTCTACACAGATCAGGGTTTTTAAAAGCACGTTTCAATCCCTGCTTCAGCTGCACATACCCGACTTTGCCAGGCAATAAAGCAAACCCCACTTACTTCGCAGGAACTCAAAAGCTGAGCGTGAAGAGCAGGGATGTGGCCATGCTCCCGTCCTTGCCAGCCCACCTGGAGAACTTCATCTCTTTCATCCCGCGGAGTTAATTCTCCGAATCAGGCGTCCCCCAACATTTCAACCGTCTTGAGCTGAGAGCTCTCCCGTGTAGCTCCTTCCAGCTCAGCTGGCTCTGAGCAGATACCATGCAGCGCACACCGCAGCTCGCTTCCTGGCCTGCAGAGGTGGTTGCTTGGCCCCGTGGTGGGCTGGGTTTCTCCCCGCCTCGGCTGCGAGCGGCGCCGCAGGCACCCGGCACGCACCAGCACCCTCTGCCGCGCTCCGCTCCCCACCCGCCCGCTTTTAGTGCCAGCCCTCTCCCCGCGGGGGAGTTAGGAGGAAGGAACCAACGGGGGAGCAGCATCACTTTGCAAATGAACAACACCCTTACAAGGACGGAGGAGGAAAAAAAAAAAAAATTAAAACCCAATTTTATTCACCAGGGACGTGAACTGTCTCGGGCGGGAAGCGTCGGGATAGGAGTCTGACAAGTAAGGCTTTGGAAGTTCTCAAGGAAGGGTCAAAATAAAACTCGGCTGAGACATGGGGATAATACACCTAATTCTTAACGACAGGATGACGTTAAATAGTGTCAGAGCACAAGAAAATTAAAAAAACCCAAGAAATTTCTCTGCCCAGCTTGGTTCACCAGCCATGGGCCAACTGGGCGAGCGCCCACGCTAAGATGGGCACATCAATCCTTGTCACCACTCAACACTCGAGTGTGGGCAACAAACAGTCATTTGTGAGGGGAAGGGCAGTGAAAACAATTGTCAAACCCTCAAGCCCAGTGCGTGGAGAGCACAAATCCAGAACAATGAAGACAGGATGGCCTATTTAGTTAGAAGGGGATGGATGCTGAAGGGCTCAAGGCAGCCCCATACCCAAGAAATTTCTCTGCCCAGCTTGGTTCACCAGCCATGGGCCAACTGGGCGAGCGCCCACGCTAAGATGGGCACATCAATCCTTGTCACCACTCAACACTCGAGTGTGGGCAACAAACAGTCATTTGTGAGGGGAAGGGCAGTGAAAACAATTGTCAAACCCTCAAGCCCAGTGCGTGGAGAGCACAAATCCAGAACAGTGAAGACAGGACGGCCCATTTAGTTAGAAGGGGATGGGTGCTGAAGGGCTCAAGGCAGCCCCACGCCACCTTCCACATCCACATGGTGCTCACCACAGCAGGGCCCAAGGGATCTGCAGGACAGTCACTCCAAAGGGTTTCCTGAAGGTGTTCACCTTGTGTACTTTTGCCGTTGCTCTGTGTTTTCTGAGGTGTGTCTGCAGCGATGCTAAATCCCACATGACTTGAACAACTCTGATCGTATCTCCTTCAGCCTTAGATTTTCTGGGGAGCTTGACCCTACGAGTAGGTGCAGCCCTGCCCAGGCTGACTGACAGCTTGATACGTTTTCTTAGAAACGGATAAAAAAAAGAAGATACTAAAGAAGCCAAACTTTTCATTAGAAAAGTGACTCTCGGAATAAAAGGAAATTGATTCTTAAATTAAGAAAAAAATGTGTCCTTAATATAGTGGCACGAAATTGCAAACAATTTTTTTTTTTATAAAGCAATTACAATGCACAAGTCCCACCAGAAACAGAGCCTGATGAAACCACCACCTCCTCCGGGGCAAGGACTGTCTGCCACCAACACAGAATATAATCTAGGGGAGAAGGAAGGTGTCCTTCCTGACTGAAGACTGGCCACGCTGCAGGGAAGGGCACTTTGCTCTCCCAGCCTGATTCTGGCACAGCCTGAAGCTCTGACACGGCCAGGGCTCATCTTTGTGCTCACCTGGGGCCCAGTCTGACCCGGACTTGGGTCCTGAGGTTTTTTTAATACAAGGATCTGTGTTCAGCGAGCCACCTAAGACAGAAAAACTCAAGTAATGATGGCAAAAATCACGAGTTTCCTTGTGGAGTGGCTTCCAGGTAGGAGATTTGAGGATCTGTTACTCTGCTACCTTATTCCCCAGCTTTGGCACTGCACTGGTGGAACCACGCAGCTTCCCGTGCCAAGTCAGTTGGGCTACAGCATGGCATGTCCCAGGGATACTCTTACAGTCCAACTGATGAAATCTGATGCTTGAGGCCACTAGTACCCACCTCCCAGCCGCCAGTTTTCTGTCTATTTGTTACACTAGGGCTACAAGGAACTGTTCCCCCCAAAAAAATTTAGTTCTCAGATAAATCCCATAGCAAAAAAAAAACCAACCCAGAAGGTGGAGAGCAGCTGAAGCAATCTGCCTTTGTTTTTTTACACCCAGCACAAGCTTTTTCTCTGCTTCGCCGGAATGTGCTCGGGAGCCTCCCTCCACTCGTGTTTGTCAGTTGGCTGCAAACACAAGCCACAGCTGATGGCAGGATGTGGGGCTTTCAAAAGCCCCTCCTAACCTGGTTTGTAGCCAACACCGTTATCACCCGAGAAGCTACAGCCTCTGGAGGTGCCACCGCAGTGATAACAGAGGAAAGTGTGCAAGAGAGCAGAGAATCTTATTTCTTGCAGTTAGTCCTTAGAGAAGGCTCAGGCTCACTGAAGGCTTTCAGGGCTGGACGGATGGGCGCTCCTTCCCCTCCTAGCAGAGCTCAGAAGCATCTTGTTTTAGAAACTTCTGTTTTTCAGCCCAATTTTCAGGCTTGGGCAGCCTGAGGCCTGGAGGAGGAGGATGGCTCAGCCAGGCTCGGAGGTACAAGCACCGAGGTTGGCTAGAAGGGCAATCACTGCAAGTCAAACGCCTTCCTCGGAGACTAGAACTCAGTCATCTTCTTGTGTGTTTCTGCTTTCTTCTGCTCCCGCTGCAGACTGGCTTCCTGGGCCTGCAGCTGCCCCAGCTGCTGGAGCGCGTTCGCCAGCTTCTCCTTCAGCTGCGCCGTAGCAACGCTGTGCCTGAAAGCAGAGAGCATGACAGCCATGTCATCCCACACGCTGAGATCAGCACCTCGTCACCAGCTCAGGAGGGTTCGCCCTTTCCGGTGGGACTAGTGCAAGCGACCTGCTGAAAGCCAGGAAGAACCTGATGCTCAGCACAATCTGGGCTAGAAGACAATCTCCTGTGATGCTCAACAGCAAAGCTGCAGAGACAGGCAGAAGGAAAGGGTGCCAGCACCTTTCTTCAGAGAGCTCCACTCTTCATCACAGCCCAAATTCCAGCCAAAGGACCCCAGGCACATCTGCCAGTGTCCACTCTGAAGTCTCCCTCCTCCACTTCCCCTTAGATTTCATCTAAATATATGTCACTTGTTTCTCCCATCCCTTATTTCAAGCCCAATCCTTCCCAGAAGCACCAAGAATTCTCAGTTCATCCCGCAGTCCCGAAGAAAACATTTTCCTACCGTCCAATGTTGCGTTCCAGGGCCTGCTGGATCCCTCTGATATCCCTCTGTGTTTGTTCAATCTTCTCCATCGTCTGGAAGAGGTGGACGCTCAGGGCTCTCCTGGAGCTCTTGCTGGCACGGTAGATCTCTTTGCTATTCCTCTCTGGCACTGCCATCCCTCCAGCCTTCTCCCCAGTGCTCTTCCCTCGCAGTTTCTCATTTAAAAAGTCAAACACGTTGCGCTTACGGCTGCCCGCGGGGAATTGTCCAGAGCTGTTTCCCTTCGCTCGACATTTCCTGGATTTGCTTGGGTCCAGCTTCCCCTGTTTCTTCCTCTGAAGCACCTCAGCACACTGATCCAGGGACTTCCCTTTAGGAAGTACCACAGCCTGCACTGGCTCCACTCGGCCCTCCGAATTCTTCCCTAACCCTGAGGAGAGACACCAAGGGATTACTGCAGGCGAGGACATCCCCCCCTCCGAGTCACCTCCCACCACAAGCTCACACTGACAGTCACAAGCTTAGAACGAGCAAAGAGGCTTTTGGAGACACAAAAAGCCTTAACTACCACCCAAGTCAAGGGGAGCAGCAAAGACCACAGCACAATGGATGCAGATGCTACAACAGGAGCTTTCTACAGCAGAAGACAGGTGATAAAAAGCCCCAGGCCATCCGTCAGGCTGGTTTCTGTGGAACTAGGTTCAGCTTCACATTCTCAGCTTCTCTTCTTAAAACTGGTTTGGTTCCTCTGGGAGAACTAAGACAAACGCAGGCAGCAGATTGGCCTCCTAAAGCCCCCCGGGCTCCACACAATTTGTGTAGCGAGAAGCTAGTTCAGCAGGCTTTGCAGTCTGCCTCTAGAGCCAGGAGATGCTTTAACACAGACATCAGAAGCTTCAGAGATCAGTTCCCTTCTACCTAAAAGCCTTTGAACATCTCATACAATAGTTCTCACGGCTTTAATCATAAACTTGACCATGGTTCCAAAGGCCTCTGATTTTTGCTATTTCCATACAGGGGCTGGTGCACACATATGCCTGCACTTCCATTAAATGGCTATTCCTTCCTTTCTGCTATCACTTCCACACAAGTGTGATTCACCACAGAGCTTGAGCCTTATCCAACAGGCCCTTCAGCAAAGAAAAAAAATCCAAAAATCCTTTTTTTCTGAACTAATTTTAGGACCCACCATGAGACTGAGATGATGAGGCAGTAAGACCATCACACCACCACCTTCTCCCCTTACCTTTTCCAAACTCGTATCCCATCCGAACAAGCAGTTTGGAGCCGATACCACGGGTATGGGCTTCCCAGCCTCCAAAAGAGGAGCTGCACGCAGGAGTCCATTCCCCATTCTCTGGAACTCCTGAGTCTATCACTGTGGCAGAGAAGAGAAGAATCAGTGAAACACAGAAACAGCAAAACCTTCATCTGGGGCACCCAAACAGCACGAAAACCCCTCAGGAGGCAGAACAATGTACTTCTCCCACACTGGAATTATTCAGCTGCTCCTCCAGCCTTACTTCGTTCCTATTAAGCTGTCACCTTTATGAACACTGCACAGTGAGTCGCTTTAATGAGAGATCTCACTTGATTTAATGCACATTCTATCTCATAGTTCCAGGCAGAATCATCCAGAAGTTTTTATGCTTCTTTTTCTTCCTTCTAGGATGGTGACAGGGACTGACATATACCAGCAAAGTACAATCTGGCACAGTGGTACATACCACTTATTCTGTGGCTCCAGCTCATGTCTCTGGTATGAGGCTCCTTTAGGCCACAATGCTAATTTTGTGTTATTAGGCTCCAATAATCTCTATTAGGCTAAACATAAAGAGCTCTAGGACACAACTTTGTCCCTGTGACATAACTGTGGCACTCGCAGAGGGACAGTGCTGACTGTGTAATCTCAAAGAAGTCACTTGAGCTCCCTCTATGACAGTTTTTAATAGTAATACAGGGCATGGATGTTCCTGCAACATCACTGAGGTCACTGGAAGGATCACTCACAATTACTGAGGTTTTGTTCTCTTGTGTCATGGAGCTACATGGAGCTCCCAGAGATGAGGAAGTCTCCTGTTAGCTCGACTCAGGCAACCACATAAGAAACAAACGCAGAGCTTGGAACTCAGCTCTAATCACACCTTCTTCTTTCACATGTTGGAAGCTCCCATGGAAACCTCCAAACTTCACTAGCCCAGCAATTTGCATAAATCAAAGATTTTAGTTTGCAATTGTAACACAATTGCTAATTACTGTTCTCTGTCTTTCAGCAACATGTAAAGAGATTAGCTGCTCTTTCATCAGAGGTGAGATACTTCTAATGAAAGCTCCAGGAGAGTAATTTCATAGGTGCCAGAGAAAGGCAGACCGAGATCACAAGTCCTTTTTGCTCACACCATCCCCACTCTCTTGCCTTTAGCATAACCAGAATCATCAACACTGTCTTCATCAGACTCAGCAGATTCGGCACCATCTTCACTTCGCAGCGGGGGAATGACACTATCTGCTTCCACAACAGCTTCCTTGAGCAGCAGGGAATCAAACTTCACAGTGTAGTAACCACTGTCAATGTCTACAGAAGGAAAAGCAAAGAATAAGAGTCCAAGGAAGTCTCCAACACACACGGCAGAGGGCTTTCTAAAACGCAGTTACCTCCAGAGGAACCACATGGGAGAGAGGAAAGGCCCAAGGAACATGTGTTTTAAAAAATTCGAGGGGTTTTTTTGTGCTTTAGATTTCTGTCTGGGAGGGAGAAGCACCTACTGCAATGAAAACCTCTTTCCACAATGCCTGTGTTGATACTTAAAGGTTTATTTCTAAAAATGAAGAAAGTTGGGCTGCTGAGAAACAGAATTAAAGAGAAGTTAGACTTGCTCCCTGCTGACCTTATAATAGTCAAAGAAAGAGAGAACAAACCCTCACTCTTCCCAGGCCACAGGGGAGCCTGTATCAGCAGCTGATGGGCAGGGCCAGCTCCCTTGCCTTTTGTTTAAACAAAAGCAGATTATTGCAATTCTGACCTAATATGCATGCAAATTCCTGCAATACCTGCCTCTTCCCTTCGGTGCAGCTAATGACCACGTAGTCATTTCCTTTCTACATTCCTGCTCTTTATGTCTCCTTTTTTGTCTAACACCCTCCTGTTTCCTAATCTATTCCCTTCCCAAGCCTGACAAAATTCAGACCGTTTTCTCAGCTGTATCAAGACTTTCACTTTAGGGATGCAGCTACATACTTAAGGTTTTTGTATTCTTTGTTAACCAAAATAGTGGAGGCATCGGCCTCCACCTTCCACCCAGAACCCTGGCAAAGCAAGCTCATAGGCAACTCACTCACCAGTTATTTTTGCAGTGTACCAGATTCCATCGCTGTGTTTGGCCAGGCAGGCTGAGCCCACCCCCAGCGTGCTCAGATTTGGCTCCTGAAATGGCTGAAGCTCTTCCACTGAGACCACCTGCCCATGCGAAAACCTGCCAGGAAAGGCAGAAGAGGAATTATCTTTACCTCATTTGAGCAGGGTTTAAAAAATTTTCTCCTTAAAGAAAATGCAAACAAGCCGTCAGTGGTGATGAATCTTCACTGGTAATCACAGAAGTTTTATCGTGCATTATTTCAATTAGACAAGTTATTAGTTTTTCATCTTAAACGTGTTATTTAGGCCACGTAACAAAGAATGCATCCCACCCCAGAGAATTAAGCTCTTCTTGCTAGTGACACATCCAGCAACAAAGTTCACAGATCCTTTGGGATAAACAGGATCACACAGACACACAGGTCTCCAGTCCAACCTCCTGCTCAAAGCACAACCAGCTTCAAAGACTGAGCAGGTTGCTCAAGGCCTGATCTATTCAGTTCTGAATATCTCCACAGATGGAGACTCTACAACCTCTCTATGCATCTGGAACGTAAGTACTCTATCCTCAGACAGCTTTGGTGGTTTTATTTTAAAATACTTGATCGGTTATCAAGTTAGCCACTCGACTGATCATGTAAAACCTCTGCAACTTTCCCATGGGATTTTCCATTTCATCCCTGCATTAGCTAAAGAAAACAGCCAAAGTGATGCCACTGCTTACCATAACACATTTTAAAAACATAAAACAAAAAAGCAACATTTCATTGGGTATAAAAGCCAAATGTGGTCCTTTCAGAGGAGGCTTATCCCTCTGAAGGACAAGGCCTTTAGCTACAGGAAGGACATAAACTCCCTCCCACCCCTTTTTCTTTTTTACCGACAATTCTCTTTAAATCTGCATTTGTCATCCAAGAAGAACGGGCACGGCTTCAGAGACTTGTGAGTTGGGTAGAGATACAGCACTCTGACTCCTGCACTGCCATCTTCTAAGTCCTCTGTCCCCACAATCATGGCATTATGGTACTCCAGGGTCCCCCAAGAACTGTAATAGGGGGCTTTAACCTTCATCCCACTTAATTCCTCCTCCTCCTCTCTGTCAGACTCTTCCTCCTCTTCGCTGTACTTGGATTCATTTTTGTCATCAGTTTCTTCATCGCCCTTTGATGGTATCTCCTCGTTATTAGCTGAAGGCTTCTCGTCGGTTCCAAGCTCAGCAATGGCTTCCTTAAAAGCAGCGTACTCCTCGTCTTGGGCAGAACTCTCTGGGTTCCTGTCCTGCTCCAGGAGACCGACTGGGGAGGAAGAGGAGGAAGCGGCATTTGTATCTAAAGTAGCCAAAAGTTTGCTCTTTTTAACAGACACCAGGCTGGATTCGGTCAGTTCTATCAGCTGCTTTAAATCCTCCTGCAACTGAATCAAGTCCGACTGCTGCGATGGGTCCAGGCCTGCCCCCAGAGCCAGCTCCACTTGCTGCAGCTGGGCATTGTAGGTCTGAATGGCTGCTTCCAGGCTCTCTTCATCCATTATCAGCAAAAGAAAGGTGTGTTTAACTGTGTCCTCTCTGGCAACTCAGAAAACATTCAAAGAGTTTACTTAAAACAAGCAACTTCTTGGATAACAAGACCTTGTCCGCAGAAGCTACCATCTACCCCGCAGTCGCGCCTCTCCCCTCAGAAGTAACCAGGCGATGCTCCTGCTGCGACCAGGCGGCGAAAGGCGACGGGAGAGTCCGAGGGGAGGCCGGGCCTTGCCCTCCCCCGTCACGGCGCCCGCTGGGGCCTACCGGGCCCACGCACAGCACCGCTCCCCCCACAGCCCGGGCTCTCACAGCGGGACCCCTCCGCCACGGTGGGAGGAGCGGCAGCAACACCCCGACCTGACCCCTCCTCGGCCGCCCCGCTCACCCCTCAGCTCCCCCTTCCCCTACTGTGCCGCCGCCATGACACCCCGTCAACTTCCGGTCCCCCCTGACCCGACTTCCGGCTTCTCGAGCCAAGGCGTTACGCCACTTCAGCAGCGGGCTGCCCCCTCTACTGAGCATGCTCTCCTTCGCGAAGCATTCTGGGAGTTGTAGTCCATCTCCCCCTCTCTGCGCAGCTCCAGCAGCGCCGTCGGAACTACATTTCCCAGCGCAACGCGCGAAGGATGGTGCTGGGGGCCGGTTCGGACGGGCAGCGTTGAGGCGCTGCGTGACGGGAGGGGTCTCCGGTACCCGGTGAGGGGCCGTGGGCTTCGGGGTCTGCCCGCCGCTCGGGGGGTGGCCAGGGCTGCGGTGGGGGGAAGCACAGGGCACGGGCGAGCTTGGGTTGGGACTACCAGGCGCCGCCGGGACCCGGCCGCGGGCCGTGAGGGGGAAATGGCGGAGAGGGTCGGTTTTCCCCCTCTGCCCTGTCAGGCTGCGGCGGGGGGAGGCCGGGGAGTCTCATGAGGGGAGCGGGCCGGTGGCTGGGCACGCCTCGGATCGCTTGTCGGCCGGAAAGGGAGCGGACCAGGGGGGTTGTTCGCAGCCCACGGCCTCCAGGCCTTCCCGGGGACGGCGTGAGGCTGCGCTGCTCGCCCGGCCCGGGGTGAGGGGTCCCCGCTCGCTGGGGAGCCTCAGGCTGGCTGTGCCCCACCTGAGATCCCCCTCCTAGCCTCCAAACCCTTTTTTAATTTCCTTTTGGCAATGTTGCTTGACTTTAGAGTGATTATTTATCTGCACACTTGCTCCAGGACGCATGGTTGCTTCTCAAAGGCTTTGCCTTGAGGTTCTCTTTACCTGTTCTTACCCAGAAGAGTTGTTGCAATGTTTTGTGAGTCAGCTCTGGCGCTTGGTACCGATGCTTCCTGCGCCTGAGCAAATCTTTTCTGCCTTGTTTGTGCAAATCCAACACCAAAAAACGTGTGGGCTTCTGCAAGTGTTGGTGTTGCTTTGTCTGGTTCTCAGTCTTGTGCTTTTGGCTCGTAAACATACCTGTCTTGTCTTCGTGGCATCATAAAGATGATAAAATACTTGTACTGTGGACACTGTAACATAGGATTGTTGCTGGATAAGGCTTAAGTTAAGATAAGTAGAGGGTTTTATCTGCCTTTAAGATATGCTGTGCTCAGTTCGACCATTAAAGATTGCATACTATGGGACCAGGAGGGAGGGAGGGACTGGCCTGTATGCTATTGCTCAAAATACCTGTTCTCTGTGTTTGTATGAAGTCGACTTCCTTTTCTGTGGGTCTTACATGAACCATAAAACACATTCAGGTGCTTCTTTAGCTCTCCTTTAAGCCCCAAAGCAAACAGGATAGTTTTCAATCGAGGGTTGAGTTTGCAGTGGATGCTGGGCGCTACGTGCAGAAACAGAGGTTAAGCTTTTTGGAAGATAACCCCTTGCTTCTATGCGTTTGAAAATTTAATTTTGAGCTAGTTGTGTGATCTGTCTTGGATCTGTGATTTCTCCTGGGATTGCCTAAATATGAGAGTTACTGATAAAACAATAACATCATTTATTTATCTGGTCTTAGGAGAAGCTTGCATTGTGAAATGTGAGACTTTTGGAAACAACCCGTTTGTTAATGATTTCCTGGTACTTGTTGCAGGAGCAGGATGTATACTCTGCTGTCTGGACTCTATAAATACATGTTCCAGAGGGATGAGTACTGCATCTTGATCCTTGGTTTGGACAATGCTGGTAAAACCGTAAGTGCTGTTGATTACGAATTGCGTGGAGGGCACACGCAATTCTAAACATCCTTGAAAGATAAAACTGACAGGTCAATCTTTCTTCAGCTGCATTGTGAGTTATTTTAGTGATGGCACACCAAAGAAGCAACTTTTCCCTCTTACTTAAATTTAACATAAGCTTTCAGGGATGTAGCTGAGGCTTTGGTAATCCCATAATCACCTGTGATCCCTTCTTTCCTTGCTAAAATAGGGAACAGGAAGAGTGGTCTGTTTCAAGGTTGGGTAGGGCAGTAGTTGTTGGAGCAGGATTCTGCAGAAATGAAGAGGCAGGTTTGGGTTAAGATTGCCCAAGCCAGTAGAATATTTGAGAGTAAACACTTTTTCTTGTTCCTTTTCAGACCTTCCTTGAACAAACTAAAACTCGATTTAACAAGAACTACAAAGGGATGAGTTTGTCCAAAATCACAACCACTGTAGGCTTAAACAGTAAGTAAATCTCTTTGGAATTTTCTCAGCTTTCCTGCACAATTAGACAACAGCTGGTTCTTCTTTGAAATATTTAAGAATTAACAAGGGTAAAATAGTTCCTGGAAGTGGGGATTGTGTCTCCTAACTCCCAATGTCTTTTTATAAAAGAATAAAGTAGACTTGCTTAGCTTATGAGGGAAAAAAAACTGAAGTCTTAAAAAAAAACCCCAAGTATCCCATTTCAGTGCTGTGCTCTGAGGTTAAGCTAAACTTCACTGGAATTAATTCCCTGGCCTGATTCTGATACTATTTGCACTGATATCAACTCTGATATTAGTGGTCACTTTGTGCGAAGGGGTTGTTCTGTTTGAAGTAGCCACTGTATGTGATTTCTTCCTCTAGAAGACTGTTGTACCCCAGATTTCTTAGGGGAGTTGCAGGTGCTTGTGCTTTAGAGAACACCTTTAGTTTTCATTGGATTGTTTTTTCCTCCTTTTTCTCTAGTTGGTACTATTGATGTTGGTAAAACTCGGCTAATGTTCTGGGATCTCGGCGGACAGGAGGAACTGCAGTCTCTTTGGGACAAGGTTGGAGATGTATTTTTTTTTTTGGTCTCTTTTAGAATTGAAGCAGTATGATCACTTTGTAATTGTACAGGCTTATTGGTAACCCTAGTATTTAGCATCAACGCTTTTCCGGGGATTCAACTATATCTGTGCAAGATTACCAAAGATAATTCTTAATATTTGTATTATTGTTAGAGACAGCAATCACCAACCTATAACTGAGGGTTGTGTGGGTAGAGATGAATTTTTTGGGGGATGAATAAGCTTTTTCACCTGCTGTAGTCAGTAAGCAACACCTTTTGCATGCCACCATTCTTTTCTCCAAACAAATACTATGGAAGCAGCTGGCTCTAACTGTTTGATCTCTACCATGTGTATCAAAATTTTACCAACTTAAAAAAAAAATAAATCAGGAAGAGAAACAAATGGTCCTAGCAGATGATGCACTAATATCTGTGTTATCCTTTCAGTATTATGCTGAGTCTCATGGAGTGATCTACGTTATTGACTCCACGGATGAAGAGAGGCTCTCGGAATCTAAAAGAGCTTTTGGTGAGTACACTGTGTTTTACCTGTACTGTGATTTCACCATGTGTTGTGGCACAGTTCTCTTGTTACCATCGTGTCTGTTCCTGTGCCCTGGAGTTAAGCTGTGTGCCCTGAAAGGTTGGATCAAATTAAACTGTAATGCATGAAGGAGCTTCTTGCTTCATCCTTAGGTCCAGAGAGTCTATCAAGCATTTGCCCAGCTTGATCTTCCAGACCCAGCTAACCCTCTGGTTTTGTTTCTGTGCTTTATAGAGAAGATGATTACCAGTGAAGCTCTGGAAGGAGTTCCCATTCTGGTGTTGGCTAACAAGCAGGATGTAGAGGTAAGATTGTTGCAGATTTACTTCTTAAATGAGCAAATTAGCCTTGAAAAGGTGAGCTCTGCATTCACGTTAAATTTATTTCACATTCCTGGACTGATCTTACTACAGTTTCCTGCTGCTGGAGATAATTGCTTTTAATTTAGTTTTATTTTTTTCCTTTCTCCTCCAACCCTGCCATAAATCAGCTTAATACCAGCTTGTCCATCTCAGCTGTTACGAACCTTTTCCGTAAACAGAACAGACTATGTGGCTATGATGGGTCAGTCTTGTACTGTGACTTAGTATTTGATGCTGTTTTTTCCTGTTTATTCATCAAAAAAATGTTTAGTGCACTTTGTTTATGTTGCCCTACTATAACTTGGGAACCACACAGCAAATGTATGTGAAGCAATATCATCCTTTTCCCGTAACCAGATAAGATCTATTCAATGAAACATTGTTTGTCCCAGAGCGTTCCATCAATGACATCAGTGAATGGAAAGGATTGCTTTTTCTTGATAGTATAATCTTTCTAGCATGAGATGGTGTTGATTGATGAGAAGCTCAACCTGAGCCAGCCATGTGTGCTCACAGCCCAGAAAGTTCCCTGCATCCTGGGCTGCCTCCCCAGCAGGGTGAGGGAGGGGATTCCACCCCTCTGCTCCACTCTGGGGAGCGTCCAGCTCTGGGGTCACCAATGTCTGCTGGGAGAGGAGGCTGAGAGAGTTGGGGGGGTTCAGCCTGGAGAAGAGAAGGCTCTGGGGAGACCTTAGAGCCCCTTCCAGTCCCTCAAGGGGCTCCAGGAGAGATGGGGAGGGACTCTTGATCAGGGAGTGGAACAATAGGATGAGATTTTATGGTTTTAAACTGAAAGAGGGGAGTTTTAGATTAGATATTAGGAAGATATTTGCCGTGAGGGTGGTGAGAGCCTGGCCCAGGTTGCCCAGAGAAGCTGTGGCTACCCCATCCCTGGAGGGGTTCAAGGCCAGGTTGGAGGGGGCTTTGAGCAACCTGGTCTGGTGGGAGGTGTCCCTGCCCAGGGCAGTGGGGCTGGAACTGGATGATCTTTAAGGTCCCTTCCAACCCAAACCATTCTATGATATCCAGAACTGCAAAACTCTTGTTTTATATTTGAGAAGTTCATGGACACTAGAATATGACGCTTTAGGTGATGATGCATCCAAGACAGTCCTCATCTGCCCGGTATGGAAAAAAGGGAAGAGAGCGCCCAAAAGGTGGTAGCGTTTTGCCATGTTTTCCTCCTTTCCCCTCTCTGTTCCGGGAATTCCAGTGCTGCAGTTCGGGTGGTTCATCTCTAGATGGAGCCAGAGACTGTCAGTAGAACTGGGAGGACCAGCCCTGGCAGCTG